TGGCAAATGATATAACAAATGTAGCCCTTTCAAAGTAACAGTCAATACACAGATATATCGACTTGACAGAAAAGCATGTCTACCGTGCACGAGGTCGATATAGATTATATGAATCGACCTCATGTTTTAAAGTGCGTGTGGTCTATTTCTTTTAAAAAAGCAATGTTTTCAACATGTAAGAGATGATATTGCCTTACTATTAAGATTAAAGGAAAACAAAATTATTTCATCGGCTTGCTCATTTCATGGCGATATGGGAACCGCGAAATTAAGGGGGGGGGAGTGGTTTGATATAGAATTCAGAGCATTGAAGCCTTTCCCCGGTATTCAGGCAAGTCTATAATCTTCCTGCATGGTTAATGCCTATATCATGGTATACTATATAGTTTAAACTGGCTATAATACCTACATGTTCTTTGGAACACTTAAAAAACCCATGCAGTTACTACTCTAGTATATAAGTTAGACTGAGGATCTGTCTACTGGGAGGAGAGTATCGATCATCAGAAAAAGTTTTCACAAATTTAAGGATAAGTCTGGAGATGCCTTTCTATAATCTTCTTGATAAACAGATCTCTCGATCTCGATCTCTCTAGCTCTCTCTCCAGGCTCCCCCCTCTCTCCCCTCTCTCTCTCCAGTCCCTCTCTCCAGGCTCCCCCTCTCTCCCCCTCTCTCTCTCCTCCCCCCTCTCTCTCTATCTAGGCTACCCCCCCCCCTCTCTCTCTCTCTCTCTCTCTCTCTCTCTCTCTCTCTCTCTCTCTCTCCAGGCTCCCTTTCTCTATCCAGGCCCCCTCTCTCTTTTTCTGCAGGCCCCCTCTCTCTCTCCAGGCTCCTTCTCTCTCCCCAGACTCCTCTCTCTCTCCAGACCCCTTCTCTCTCTCCAGGCTCCCTCTCTCTCTCTCTAGGCTCCCTCTCTCTCTCCAGCCTCTCTCTCTCTCCAGGCTCCTTCTCTCTCTCCAGGCACCCTCTCTCTCCAGACTCCCTCTGTCTTTCTCTGCAGGCTCCGGCCCTCTCTCCAGACTTCCTCTCTCTCTCTCCAGACTCCTCTCTCTCCAGGCTTCCTCTCTCTCTCCAGACTCCTTCTCTCTCTCCAGGCTCCCTCTCGCTCTCTCCAGGCTCCTTCTCTCTCTCCAGGCTCCTTCTCTCTATCCAGACTCCTGTTCTCTCTCTCTCCAGACTCCCTCTCTCTCTCACCAGGCTCCCTCTCTCTCCAGACTCCTTTTTTCTCTCCAGGCTCCTTCTCTTTCTCCAGGCTCCCTCTCTCTCTCTCTCTCTCTCTCTCTCTCTCTCTCTCTCTCTCTCTCTCTCTCTCTCTCCAGGTTCCCCCCCTCTCTCTCTCTCTCCAGGCTCCCTCTCTCTCCAGACTCCCTCTCTCTCTACAGGCTCCCTCTCTCTCTCCAGGCGCTCTCTCTCTCCAGGCGCTCTCTCTCTCTCTCTTTCTCTCTCTCTCTCTCTCTCTCTCTCTCTCTCTCTCTCTCTCTCTCTCTCTCTCTCTCTCCAGGCTCCTTCTCTCTCTCCAGTCTCCCTCCCTCTCTCTCTCTCCAGGCTCCTTCTCTCTCTCTCCAGACTCCTTCTCTCTCTCCAGGCCCCCTTTTTCTCTCTAGGCACCATCTCTCTCTCCAGGCTCCCTCTCTCTCTCTCTCTCTCCAGGCTCCCTATCTCTCTCTCTCTGTCTCTCTCTCCAGGCTCCCTCTCTCTCTACAGGCTCCCTATCTCTCCCTCCAGACTCCCTCTGTCTGTCTCTCTCTCTCCCGGCTCCTTCTCTCTCCCCAGACTCCTTCTCTCTCTCCAGCCTCTCTCTCTCTCCAGGATCCTTCTCTCTCTCCAGGCTCCTGCTCTCTCTCTCTCCAGACTCCTTCTTTCTCTCCAGGCTCCCTCTCTCTCCAGGCTCCCTCTTTCTCTCCAGGCTCCTATTCTCTCTCCAGACTCCCTCTCTCTCTCCAGGCTCCTATTCTCTCTCCAGACTCCCTCTCTCTCTCCAGGCTCCTATTCTCTCTCCAGACTCCCTCTTTCTATCCAGACTCCCTCTCTCTCTCTCTCTCCAGGCTCCCTCTCTCTCCAGGCTCCTATTCTCTCTCCAGGCTCCCTCTCTCTCTCCAGGCTCCTATTCTCTCTCCAGGCTCCCTCTCTCTCTCCAGGCTCCTATTCTCTCTCCAGACTCCCTCTCTCTCTCCAGGCTCCTATTCTCTCTCCAGACTCCCTCTTTCTATCCAGACTCCCTCTCTCTCTCTCTCTCTCCAGGCTCCTATTCTCTCTCCAGACTCCCTCTCTCTCCAGACTCCTTTTTTCTCTCCAGACTCCTTTTTTCTCTCCAGACTCCTTTTTTCTCTCCAGGCTCCTTCTCTCTCTCCAGGCTCCCTCTCTCTCTCTCCAGGCTCCTTCTCTCTCTCTCAAGGCTCCTTTTCTCTCTCTAGGCTCCCCCTCTCTCTCCAGGCAACTCTCTCTCCAGGCACCATCTCTCTCTCCAGGCTCCTTCTCTCTCTCCAAGCCCCCTCTCTTTCTCTCCAGGCACCATCTCTCTCTCCAGGTTCCCCCTCTCTCTCTCTCCAGGCTCCTTCTCTCTCTCCAGGCACCCTCTCTCTATCCAGACTCCCTCTGTCTTTCTCTGCAGGCTCCGGCCCTCTCTCCAGACTTCCTCTCTCTCTCTCCAGACTCCTTCTCTCTCTCCAGACTCCTTCTCTCTCTCCAGGCTCCTTCTCTCTCTCCAGACTCCTGTTCTCTCTCTCTCCAGGCTCCTTCTCTCTCTCCAGGCTCCCTCTTTCTATCCAGACTCTCTCTCTCTCTCTCTCTCCAGGCTCCCTCTCTTTCTCACCAGGCTCCCTCTTTCTCTCCAGGCTCCTTCTCTCTCTCCAGGCTCCCTCTCTCTCTCTCCAGACTCCCTTTCTCTCTCTCTCTCTCCAGACTCCTTCTTTCTCTCCAGGCTCCCTCTCTCTCCAGACTCCTTTTTTCTCTCCAGACTCCCCCCCTCTCTCTCTCTCCAGCCCATCTGTCTCTCTCCAGGCTCCTTCTCTCTCTCCAGGTTCCCCTCTCTTTCTCTCCAGGCTCCTCTCTCTCTCTCTCTCTCTCTCTCTCTCTCTCTCTCTCTCTCTCTCTCTCTCTCTCTCTCTCTCTCTCTCTCTCTCTCTCTCTCTCTCTCTCTCTCTCTCTCTCTCTCTCTCTCTCTCTCTCTCTCTCTCTCTCTCTCTCTCTCTCTCTCTCTCTCTCTCTCTCTCTCTCTCTCTCTAGGCTCCCTACCTCTCTCTCTCTGTCTCTCTCTCCAGACTCCCTCTCTCTCTCTCTCCAGGCTACCTCTCTCTCTCTCTCCAGGCTCCCCCTCTCTCTCCAGGCTCTTTCTCTCTCTCCAGGCCCCTTCTCTCTCTCTAGGCTCCCTCTCTCTCTCCAGGCTCCTTCTCTCTCTCCAGTCTCTCTCTCTCTCTCCAGGCTCCTTCTCTCTCTCCAGGCACCCTCTCTCTATCCAGACTCCCTCTGTCTTTCTCTGCAGGCTCCGGCCCTCTCTCCAGACTTCCTCTCTCTCTCTCCAGACTCCTTCTCTCTCTCCAGACTCCTTCTCTCTCTCCAGGCTCCTTCTCTCTCTCCAGGCTCCCTCTTTCTATCCAGGCTCCCTCTCTCTCTCCAGGCTCCCTCTTTCTATCCAGACTCCCTCTCTCTCTCTCTCTCCAGGCTCCCTCTCTTTCTCACCAGGCTCCCTCTGTCTCTCCAGGCTCCTTCTCTCTCTCCAGGCTCCCTCTCTCTCTCTCCAGACTCCCTTTCTCTCTCTCTCTCTCCAGACTCCTTCTTTCTCTCCAGGCTCCCCCCCCCTCTCTCTCTCCAGCCCATCTGTCTCTCTCCAGGCTCCTTCTCTCTTGCCAGGCTCCTTCTCTCTCTCCAGGCTCCCTCTCCCTCTCTCTCCAGGCTCCCCCTCTCTCTCTGCAGGCTACTCTCTCTCCAGGCTCCACCTCTCTCTCTCCAGGCTCCCTCTCTCTCTCTCCAGGCTCCCTATCTCTCTCTCTTTCTCTGTCTCTCTCTCCAGAACTCACTCTCTCCCTCCAGGCTACCTCTCTCTCTCCAGGCCCCCCTCTCTCTCTCTCCAGGCACCATCTCTCTCTCCAAGCTCCCCCTCTCTCTCTCTCTCCAGGCTCTCTCTCTCTCTCTCTCTCTCCAGGCTCCTTCTCTCTCTCCAGTCTCTCTCTCTCTCTCCAGGCTCCTTCTCTCTCTCCAGGCACCCTCTCTCTATCCAGACTCCCTCTGTCTTTCTCTGCAGGCTCCCTCTCCAGTCTCTAGGCTTCTTCTCTCTCTCTCCAGCTAGACTCCTTCTCTCTCTCCAGGCTCCTTCTCTCTCTCCAGGCTCCCTCTCTCTATCCAGACTCCCCCCTCTCTCTCCAGGCCCCCCTCTCTCTCCAGACTCCCTCTCTCTCCAGACTCCTGCTCACTCTCTCTCTAGGTTCTTTCTCTCTCTCCAGGCTCCTTCTCTCTCTCTCTACAGTCTCTCTCTCTCCAGGCTCTTTCTCTCTCCAGGCTCCTTCTCTCTCTCCAGACTGCCTTTCTCTCTCTCCAGGCTCCTTCTTTCATTTCTGGCTCCTTCTCTCTCTCTCCAGGTCCCCCCCCTCTCTCTCCAGGCTCGATCTCTCCCTCTCTCTCCAGGCTATATCCCTCTCTCTCTCTTCTTAATCTGAATTATGTTTAGATGACTTTTTGTATATCATTAAAGTAAATCTAGGATGACATTTTAAAATATTGATTCTGTGCATTTTTAGTAGCAAAAGGGTGTTATAATTTTTTTTAGAGTTAAAGATTTTTATATATATATATATTACCCATACATGCTATACATGTATACTATTTTGTGGTTCTTTATTACTGTAAATCATGTAGTTAATCGGTCAATGGTGAACAATCTTAATCTTTAATTATAACAGCTGTTAAACTTAAGGTCAGCGACAATTTATTTTTTATTTACAGCGTTTCCGGAAATCGGGCATCCGGTGTTGACTTACAAAATAGAGTTTTAAAGATGGCCGCAAAAGACACTGAAAATTCGGACTAAAGATAGAAAGATAAGAATTGTAGTAATATCATGTGAAGCTGGTTTCAGCAATAATGTTAATGCACATCGTACACAATGACTTCGTTTTTGTTTGTTGTTAAGATTCCAGTTCACGAGGATGAACGACCGTCAAAGTCGGTGTCTGAAGAAAAGTCGGACGATGACAGCAGCGAGAAGGAGACTAAGGAGGAAGATGATAAATCAAACGATAAATTAGATGTGGCAGACGATGAAGAACACGCGGATCTTGACAGTGCTGACTTGACTAAGACAGAAAAAGTCAAGGAAGATGAGTTAAAGGAGGACAAACCGAAAGTAGAGGAAACGCAGGAGGATGATGATTGGGATTTTGGGGAGGAAGACACAAATAAGGACTTAGGCGATACAGCAGGAGCACAGGGTAAAACCAGTGACAATGAGGATGTGAAACAAAAACAAGAAAAAGACGAGATATTGTGTGAAAATGAAGGCGGCAAGGCTGAGAATACTAATAAGGCGGCTCCAGGGCAATCTTCTGAAGAGAATGAGACCCTAGACCAGAATAAAACAGCGGCAGAAGAGAACACAACACAGAATGTTTCCTATGCAGATGTTGTAAAAGCTGCCATCAGCTGTGAGAATAACAATGAGGAAAAAGATTCAGAACAGATACCTGAAAACCCTGAACAGCAATGTGAGGCAACAGTACAGAATAACACAGACATTTCAGCTGCAGAGGCAGTGGGATCTAATGATAGTAAAACAGAAAATAACAACAGTGAGAAGGAGAAAGAACTCCTGGGAGAAAACTCTGTAGAACCACATGAGAATGGAGATATTAACAAGGTGGAAGGAGGGAAGGATGGAGAACAAAGCACAGCACCGCCAAAAAAGAAATTTCAAGTGGAGAAAGCGGCAGAGGACAGTCTCCAACTGGATGAAGCTTTAAGTAGACAGAATCAGATTGAGGACACCGTTAAACACTTAGAGAAGTCGGAATCCGTCCCGCCCCTCAGGCTCCACGAGAAACTCCCCGTCCCAGCATCCCTGTCTGACGACAGACTCTCGGAGGTGGAAAACGTTAACTTTCAGACTGTCAGCTTTATAGATGAGGAACCACTGGTAGAGGTACACAAACGGGAAATATTGAATTCTAAACAGTAGAGAATATAATCCTATTAATTTATAAAGATTTATAAACTTTCTCAGAAACATGAAAGAATAATTGAAAATAATTTATTCCGAGTTCAGTATTGAATAAAAGATTAGTGTAATACATGTATGGTGCATTTGAAATTTTTACTTTTAGACAGTGAAGGCCATTGTAGAATCCTTCTCTATTGATAACTTCTCTGTTCAAAAGACAGAAAATGGAGAATTCTATCAGGTAAGATCACCATAATTATCCAGTTGTCATCTTAATGATGTAATTGTTCATTTGTCATCACAATTTTTAGCTCTTCTGAGCCAAAGGCTCAAAGAGCTAAGGCCAAAAATAAAAATAGTCTTGTTTCCTGCTACCCGACCTACCCTATTTTTTTTGCACCCGACCCTAAAGTTTTTATTTAGTTTTGGGGGGAAAATCAGAAATTTCATGATCCAAAAGTGAAAAAAAATATACATTTAAGTGGTATTTCATGAAATATGTATATTTTAAATATGGACTTGCATGAAACACTACTTATTTTAAATGATGACATTGACCAATGACCTGTTTAATTTGGTTTTGTAATAGTTCATATCCAACAAATACCACTGGAAAAAATAAAATAAAATAAAAAAATAAAATAATTTTCCGACCTACCTACCCTATTTTTTTCAGGCTGGTAGCAGGAAACAAGACTATTATTTTTTTTGGCCTAATGCTATGGCCATTTGTGCGGTGTGCGGTGTGCATTAACTTTTTAGAATATGGGCCATAACTCAAGAACCCCTTGGCCAATCAGTATCAAATTTGTCACAGGGTATCCTTGGCCCAAGGGCTACCTTTTATACTAAAATAAGGGTTGGGACCCTTAAACAAGGGGAGATAATCAGGAAAACAAAACGAAAAGTACTGGTTGCTAAAAAATCTTCTTCTCCAGAACCACCAGGCAGATTTTCACCAAACTTACATACAAGGATCAGGATATGTCGAAGATTGAAAATTGCTCAAGGAATTACCCGGGGGCAAAGGGCGTGGTCTCAAGGTCACTTCAAAGTTGACCTAAATTTACAAATAATAAAAACGTTTATATGTTGCTTAGTTTTAGGACTAGGATCATCAAATCTTGTAAGTTGATGCATCTTAGGACTTCACATCATGTTAACACAAAAGTAGGTCACGGTGACCTATTTTTTAAATTTTGTGGGCATTTTTAAAAAAATTGATTTGAAGGCATATTTTGGACACTTTAAGGCCTATGATCATCAAACTTTGTCAGTTGATGCATCTTGGGTCCTTGAACAACTACAACTTAAAAGTAGGTCACCGTGACCTACTTTTTGAACTTGATGACTAATTCTTTTTATAACATTTAATCCCATTATTTCAGACACTGAGAGGTTTAGAATCATCAAATCTTGTAAGTTGATGCATCTTTGGACCTTAAAACGTATTTATGAAAAAGTAGGTCACTGTGAATTACTTATTGAATTTTGCAGGCATTTGTTTTTGAATTGTTTAAAAAGGCATATTTTGATTACCTTCAGACCTAGGATCATCAAACTTGGTCAGCAGATGCATCTTGGGACTCTGAAAAATGTCGACCAAAATGTAGGTCACGATGACCTACTTTCAACATTTTATGGCTATATTTTAGTATCTTAGGTATTTATTGGCTTAGAATCATCAAACTTTGTGAGTTGATGCATTTTGGGTTTTCGGAGAGTAACAACCAAAAAGTAGGTCACTGTGACCTACTTTTGACATTTTATGGCTTTATTTAAGTATCTTAGGTATTTATTGGCTTAGAATCATCAAACTTTGTGAGTTGATGCGTCTTAGATTTTTGGAGAGTGATGACCAAAAAGTAGGTCACTGTGACCTACTTTCGACATTTTATGGCTTTATTTAAGTATCTACAGTACTTATTGGCTTAGAATCATCAAACTTCATCATTTGATGCATCTTGGGTTTTCGGAGAATGATGTCCAGAAAGTAGGTCACAGTGACCTAATTTTTTTACATTTAATGGCTTTATTTAAGTATCTATGGTACAAATGGTTTAGAATCATCAAACTTTGCTTGTTAATGCATCTTGGGTTTTTAGAGAATGTCGAACGAAAAGTAGGTCATCGTGACCTACTTTTGAATATCTCAGGTACTTATTGGCTTATAATCATCAAACTTTGTCTGTTGATGTATCTTGGGTTTTCGAAAATCGTCTACAAAAATTAGGTCGCAGTGACCTACTTTTGACATTATATGGCTATATTTAAGTATCTTGAATACTTATTGGCTTAGAATAATCAGACTTTGTCAGTAGATACATTTTGGGTTTTCCAAGGATGTAGACAAAAAAATAGGTCATGGTGACCTACTTTTGACATTTTATGGGTATATTTAAGTATATCAGGTACATATCGGCTTAGAATCATCAAACTTTGTCAGTTGATGCAACTTGAGTTTTCAGGGATCGCAAACCAAAAATTACATCACCTTGACCTACTTTTGACATTTTATGGCTATTTTCATATCTCAAGTACTGGTTGACCTAGAGAACTGTTAAACTTTGTCAGTTGGGGCATCTTTGGTTTTCGGAGAATGTGGACCAAAAAGTAGGTCATGGTGACCTACTTTTGAATATCTCAGGTACTTATTTGCTTAGAATCATCAAACTTTGTCAGTTGATGTATCTTGGGTTTTCAAAGAATGTAGACAAAAAAGTAGGTCACGGTGACCTACTTTTAAATATCTCAAATACTTATTGGCTTAGAATCTTCAATCTTTGTCTATTAATGCATCTTCAGTCCTCAGAAAACTTCAATCTTAAAGTAGGTCACTGTGACGTACTTATGGTTTTTTATAGCTTTATTATTAAAATATCTTCAGTCCTAATTGGCTAAGAATCATCAAACTTTGTCAGTTGATGCAACTTGGGTCTTAGGATACTTGGGGCTAGAGGCTTCAAATAGAAGTGATAGATTGTACAATTTATCAGAAGAGCGATTCAAGGCCCTTGGGCCTCTTGTTTATCTCATTTTGTCCTGCATTCATCTGTACGTGTATCCTGATGAATGTCTGTCTGTAAACTTTTCACAAGAAATATTACTGATCCCAAAGTAGTGACAACTTTTAAAACTCTTCATCTTGAGTACCACTGGGCCAGAAAGATGAATTTCAAATTTGTTCAATTGCATAAAAAAATCTTGAGAAAGCAGACTGAAAGTCAGATGCATGGGCCATGGGGCTAAAATCAGGGAATAAAGTTTTACATATATAGAATCTTTATTTGTATGATTTTAGGTAATTTTTCTGGATGAAGGAGGTGAACGTTGTGAATCGATCTTGAATCAGCTTGCAAAACAGAAGATAGGTGACAGGCCAGGGACATCTGTAAGGTGGGCACTTACAGCATTAAATCATAAATACGGTATAAATTATTTTTTATCATGTTCTGATGTGAAATCAACAGTTAATGAATGATATACATCTAAGAGATCAGTGTTAGACCTGATCAAGAGCAAACAAACACTTGACAATTGTGTTGTTGTTGCAGTATTTTCCCGTCCAGTATCTACCGTGGTAACATCCCCAATGACACAGAGGAGGAGTCAGAGGATGAAGGGTAGGCTTCTTAGTTAATAAATAAAAACAGTCTTCACGAAAACTTTTCAAACTAACTGGCCAGTCGGACCCGTGAACTTTCAAAATTTACTGGCCCACCAAAAGTTTTACTGGCCCCTTAATTAAAAAATAAAATAAATACATTTTCATAACAGTAAATTTATACATGTTTACGTACTTCAACTTTTGAATGCCGCCATTTTTCGTCCTTTGTCACGTTTCGGTAAGTTGTTCTTTGGAAATTCGCACATTTTACGTACTAGTTAATAGTTACTAGCTAGTTGGTTGAAAACATCCATTTTATAATAGGGTTACAATAAAAATTAAAAACGTGCTTGTTCTTATATTATATATTGAAATTTATGCAAGTAAGTCAGTTAAGATTGCTTACTCCACTTATATTGAACTCGCTTATTTTGAAATTCCGCTTATTTTGAATTAGAAATAAACATTTTGCCTCTCATATTCTTTGCATTAAAATAACGGTTATATTGAAATCGGTTATATTGAAATTTCTCTTATATTGAAGCCAATCGGTCCCCACAGGTGATAATTTGTTTTAATAACGGTTATATTGAAGTTTACATATGTACGGTTGGTGACAGTAATTATCTGATTGAGCAGTTGATATACAAAGGTGTGAATAATTAAGTTTTCAACATTTGTGTTTTAATACTGCATGTTCACAAATTCATCACTGTTCAATTTTTAATATAATACGGACATATTGAGGCTAAACAGCTAAACGTGGGTATATTCTAGGTGCAGCTTACTAATGTTTAAATGAAATGTAAAAAAACATTTTTGAAACCAAAACGATGTTTTTTTCATATGCCTTTCGAAATAACAATTATACACTTACGATGAAATACCAGCATTCAGCAGTACTTACATGTAACTGTTAGGAATTTTCTGCAAAAGGTAAATAAATGGATGGGAATAATTGATAGTCGTACTTTTCAATGAAACAGATATTTGTTTCAAGGACTTTCATCTTTGTAATATGTGTGTTGACAAAATTAATTTTTGGGTTTGTTTTTTTTGCGATTGAAGTTGTAAAAATGGGACTTTCGATTTTTATAAAATTAATATATTTAACTTATGGATTTCAATATGGGAAATTTATTGACTGTGTTGATTTTTATAACCAACAAGCCCATCGGACTTCTTGAATTTTGATTTTCACTGACCCGACATCAAAATTCACTGGCCTCGGTCTTCGGACCAGTGAGTTTTCGTGAAGACTGTAAAAATATCACATGGTTGTGTCAAAGTCCTTACTGATGATGCTTAAAAATTATACTGTCATCTACTGTACAGGCTATTCTTCTGATTGGTTTTAAACATTTTGCTTTTATTATAACTTTGCTCATCTGTAAATTCATCTTTTTATCTATTCATTAAATACAATTATCATTGATAAATGCAAATTCATCTGAGACATTCACTGAGACAAACCACATACAGTTGCTGTATAAATGTACATTGTTCTGGTATAAGTCATCATTTGTATTACTTTCTGTAGTTGGGTACAATCACATTAAGATTAAACAGTATCCATTTTTTTCCATCTTTTTCATGATGTTCAGGAGTGAGTCAAGGTAGGCTGGTAAGAACACTGCTGTCTGTGTTGTCTGGTACTATATAGTCCTATCAGTATCATTGTGTAACATCTGCTACCCAGAGAGGCTTATTTTATTTTACTATCTCGTAAAGTATAAATTCAGTTAAGTAATAAATAGGGTTTATAAGTCTTGAGTAGAAATGAGTAGTGATCATGATATTTTTATGTCATTTGCATGCTGGCACAGCTCAGTTATGAATTTGTTCAACTGTTGTCTTTACACTATGCTTAACATAATTGTAATAAAGAAGCTGTGTGTGGAGGCTGTATGGAGAAATGATACTAATCACTAGATGTAAATATTGTAGTAATCCTCATATAAATATGTCTTGTCATCAGCTACTAATTTCTCAATACTAATACCTGGTAAGACTTAAATAGTTGTCATTTGAAATCAAACTAATGCATATACATTGTATATGTTATTTCTTTTACAATATCTTATGCACTTTTTAAAATTTCTTTAATATCTTTGGCAACCTGATGGTATCTATATAATTATATAATATTTATATAACTGTACATATTTCATTTTCCTGGCATTCATCATGATTTTGTAATGGTCAATGTAGTGTACTGGGTAATACTAGTATCAGAAGAAACACATTGATGTTATCTATCAAATTGATCTTTTTTCATGACATCCAGGAGTGAGTCAAGGTAGGCTGGTTAGCACTATGTTGTTTTTGTTGTCTGGTAACATATAGATCAATAAATATCAATGTATAACATTTAAAATTTTATAAAATTCCTCAAAGATCTTATATAACTTAGTTCAATATTAGGGATAATTTTGGGATTGAATTAATAACTGCATCATGTCTGTAGAATTAAACTGTGGTTATATAATCTCCTTTGCATGATGGTACAATATTTTGAATTTTGTTGTTTCTATATTCTGATAATCATTTTAAAAGGGTGATACAGGTTGTGGAATGTTGAGTTGAGGTGTAGATTCTTAGAGATAATACTCATGAATCATAATTTTTATCCCACTACTCCTCATATGTACAACAATATAGCATGTCATCTCATCAGCTACTAATCTTTTAGTACAATTAATACTCTGTCCTTTATTAGGAAAGTGGTACATATGTATTTGTTCACAAGCCACAGGTTTTGTGACCATTCTATGGACACAAAACCCGTGGCTTGCAACGATGGCTTGTCAGATAAGACAGGTTTTACTGTATTTTGCTTAGAGTATGAAGCACAGATGTTTTTCTTTATTGTTTACAGAGAGTGGTACAAACCACTAATGTATAATGAGAAATATAATGTTATGAAAACAGAGTAAACTTTAAGTATAGTGTAAACTAAATTATAATTCCAGTGCAAGAAATTTTCATGAGGTTTGCAAAAGCCTTGTTATTGCAAATGTTTCTATCCATGAACTGGTCTTTAAAGTCTCTCATTCTTTTAAAAAACAGATAAAAAAAGGCTTGATTGCAAAAATTAATCGGCGTGAACTAGTTTACCCCAGTAAATCATGAAAAAAAGTCATTGCAAATGAAAGTTGGTTTGCAGTATTCAGTATTTTTGTACTATATACCATAAAGAGTGAGGAATGCAATGTATTCTTTGTTTTATATATGTTAATATACTGTTAACAGAGAAGAAACTGAAGACAGAGATGAGGAGACACCATTCAAGAAATCAATCAAAGCCAGAATGCTGGTCACTCAGGTAAGAATACTGGTCACACAGGTAAGAATGCTGGTCACACAGGTAAGAATGCTGGTCACACAGGTAAGAATGTTCAGTCAAAGCCAGAATGCTGGTCACACAGGTAAGAATGTTCAGTCAAGGCCAGAATGCTGGTCACTCAGGTAAGAATGTTCAGTCAAGGCCAGAATGCTGGTCACACAGGTAAGAATGTTCAGTCAAGGCCAGAATGCTGGTCACACAGGTAAGAATAGTTCAGTCAATGTGAGAATGCTGGTTACACATGTAAGAATAGGTCAGTCAATGTGAGAATGTTGGTCACACAGGTAAGAATAGGTCAGTCAAGTTGAGAATTCTGGTAATACAGGTAAGAATAGGTCAGCCAAGGTGAGAATATTGGTCACACAGGTAAGAATAGGTCAGCCAAGGTGAGAATGTTGGTCACACAGGTAAGAATAGGTCAGCCAAGGTGAGAATGTTGGTCACACAGGGAAGAATAGGTCAGTCAAGGTGAGAATGCTGGTCACACAGGGAAGAATAGGTCAGTCAAGGTGAGAATATTGGTCACACAGGTAAGAATAGGTCAGCCAAGGTGAGAATGTTGGTCACACAGGGAAGAATAGGTCAGTCAAGGTGAGAATATTGGTCACACAGGTAAGAATAGGTCAGCCAAGGTGAGAATGTTGGTCACACAGGGAAGAATAGGTCACACAGGTAAGAATATTGGTCACACAGGTAAGAATAGGTCACACAAGGTGAGAATGTTGGTCACACAGGGAAGAATAGGTCAGTCAAGGTGAGAATATTGGTCACACAGGTAAGAATAGGTCAGTCAAGGTGAGAATGCTGGTCACACAGGGAAGAATAGGTCAGTCAAGGTGAGAATATTGGTCACACAGGTAAGAATAGGTCAGTCAAGGTGAGAATGATGGTCACACAGGGAAGAATAGGTCAGTCAAGGTGAGAATATTGGTCACACAGGTAAGAATGGTCACACAAGGTGAGAATGTTGGTCACACAGGGAAGAATAGGTCAGTCAAGGTGAGAATATTGGTCACACAGGTAAGAATAGGTCAGCCAAGGTGAGAATGTTGGTCACACAGGGAAGAATAGGTCAGTCAAGGTGAGAATATTGGTCACACAGGTAAGAATAGGTCAGTCAAGGTGAGAATGTTGGTCACACAGGGAAGAATAGGTCAGTCAAGTTGAGAATTCTGGTAATACAGGTAAGAATAGGTCAGTCAAGGAGAGAATGTTGGTCACACAGGTAAGAATAGGTGAGTCAAGGTGAGAATGTTTGTCACACAGGTAAGAATAGGTCAGTCAAGGTGAGAATGTTTGTCACACAGGTAAGAATAGGTCAGTCAAGGTGAGAATGTTTGTCACACAGGTAAGAAGAGGTCAGTCAAGGTGAGAATGCTGGTTACACAGGTAAGAATAGGTTAGTCAAGGTGAGAATGTTGGTCACACAGGTAAGAAGAGGTCAGTCAAAGTGAGAATGCTTGTTACACAGGTAAGAATAGGTTAGTCAAGGTGAGAATGTTGGTCACACACGTAATAATAGGTCAGTCAAGGTGAGAATGTTGGTCACACAGGTAAGAATAGGTCAGTCAAGGTGAGAATGTTGGTCACACAGGTAAGAATAGGTTAGTCAAACCAGAATGCTGGTCACACAGGTAAGAATAGGTTAGTCAATGTGAGAATGTTGGTCACACACGTAATAATATGTCAGTCAAGGTGAGAATGCTGGACACACAGGTAAGAATAGGTCAGTCAAGGTGAGAATGTTGGTCACACAGGTAAGAATAGGTCAGTCAAGGTGAGAATGTTGGTCACACAGGTAAGAATAGGTCAGTCAAGGTGAGAATGCTGGTCACACATTTAAGAATAGGTCAGTCAAGGTCAGAATGTTGGTCACACAGGTAAGAATAGGTCAGTCAAGGTCAGAATGTTGGTCACACAGGTCAGAATAGGTCAGTCAAGGTCAGAATGTTGGCCACACAGGTCAGATTAGGTCAGTCAAGGTCAGAATGTTGGTCACACAGGTCAGAATAGGTCAGTCAAGGTCAGAATGTTGGTCACACAGGTCAGAATAGGTCAGTCAAGGTCAGAATGTTGGTCACTTATATTGAAATGGATACCAGTAGTTTACCTATTACAAATACTTCAGTGGTCACTTATATTAATATAGAAGTGTAAGATACATGGCATTCTACAAGCTTGGGCTAGCAGGTGAACCCTTTAGCTCAATTAATAGAGCACTTTACCGGCAAGCTAGAGTATGGGGCTCAATCCCCAGCAGAGGCACAAAATTCTTTCTGTTACATTTGGCGCCCATGTTGGGACCTGAATGTTCTCTGGCAGGTGATAGTGATTGACCCTAGAACTTTGCCCATTAGGTTTTGGCACTCCAAAAGAGATGAGGACATCTCATTCTCTGAAGGGCAACAATATATTAGTGCAAGATACACAGCATTCTACTAGCTTGGGCTAGTGGGTTAACCCTTTAGCTAGATTGATAGAGGACTGGACTGGCAAGCCAGAGCCCGTTTTTTGTTACATTAACTTAGAAGTCAACTTTGGAAAAAATAGAGAAAAGATCAACATTGATCAATTTCCTACTCCTTCTAATGTAAGAAAATGTACTTGTATCTGTAAGATATCCACTGTGAACTCCTTTTACTACAGGATATATTACAAAGACTTGATTATTTCCTTGTCTTTTCAGGTATTCAACACTGTCAGAGACAATGCTCAGTTTACGTTCGATTACTTGGTTCTGTGTGTTACTGCTAGGTAAATTTATACACTTTATTCTCCCCTCTTCCCCTCTCTCTCTCTCTTTTTCTCTCTTTGTAACAAATAATTTATTATAACAAATTACTGCTCATATTTGAATGATTGTAAAATGATATTAAGCTCTAACAATCACTTTCCATTGACTACCAGCTTTCAGAAGTGTTTGCTTTACTTAATTACATTGTAAAAACAAGATGTGTTTATGAAACACTATATGGCAGCTTATGGCAAGGGTTGAATCTCTCTCAAATGCAAGTCAAACCACAAGGTCAAAATTGTTGATATCCAAAGGAATGTCTTGTCATAAGGGATAAACCTGTGAAATATGAAAGACAAGTAATAACTATTCAAAAGTAATGTCCAAGGCTATGCATTTTTAAAAATGGGTCAAAATCTAAGGTCAACGTCTTAATATATTTACTCTTTTTACCCTTTGAAAGGTCTTGTCACAATGAATATACATGTGAAGTATGAAAACCCTAGTGCCAACTTTTCAAAAGTTATGGTCAAGAGTATTTTTTGGTAATTTTGTGTAAAAGTGGGTGAAGGTCAAGAGGTCAATTTTTTGGGTACTTGGAGAAATGTTTTGTATTAGGAAACTGAATACACCTGTGAAATAGCCCAACCCACTCAAAAGTTATGGTCAAGGGGTTAAAGTTTTTGCAGACAAACAGACAAACAAAATGGACAGACAGGGCAAAATCTATATACCCCCCGAATTTTTTATTACGGGGGCACAGTAAACGTCAAATAAAACAAAAAAGACACTGAATTTAGCTTGGATTAGCAATACACTTCCTTTTATATATTAAGTGCAGATGTGTTTTTCCTGTTGTTTCCAACTGCATTCTTTTCTTCAGAGTTTGATTAGGATTCCAAGACAAAAAGGGTAACCATAGTAACCCAGCGCATGACCATGATCTTCAAAAAATGAAACATTGCTTTGTTACTGTGTCAGCTGTGCTTTTTTTTATTTCATGATGACAATTGCATGAATTTTTTTTATCTTTTAACATAAAACACTTTTTTTTATTTTTAAGAGGCTTTCTAGCTTGGAGATAAATCCTCAGATTGTTCTTTGAAAACCACATTTCCTCTGTTTCATGTCTATAAAACAGAGCACTTAACTAATGTTTTAATGTGTTTGTCGGCAGGTAGTAGGAATATTAGAATGTCTGAAACAATCTTAAGTTATGAACTGTACTTTGTCTGCCTTATGGTTCAGTCCGTCAGTCTGTCCGTTCGTTTGTGTATCTGTTTGTAGCTCTGCTGTATAATGTGTAGGTTGATTGCCAAACTCTATTTTAAAAAAGTAATTGTGGTAAGGTGACATACTGAAAAAGTGTTTCAGTCCAATGTGATTAAAAAGTTTAATGTGCAATATTCTTAGGCAGAATTTTCAAAAGTGTATGAGAGAAAATGGCCTTACCACAGATAAAGGGAGGTAAATACAAGCACTTTGATTTGATTGTCCCATCAAGAATTTGTAATTCGTATTGAGATCCCACCACATGCAGGTGGAAGGTTGCAAAAATGTAGACTAATACTGCCATTGAGCAGTGAGGGGTCTTTTCCATGCTAGCATCTACTGTGACACAGGAACTTGGTTTATACAGTGTTATTCAAAGGACCAGTACGTCTCCATGTCACACTGTGATTTCAACCCTGAGACGTAAGGATCAACTCCTCACTCTGTGAATCTAGAGCAAATGCTCTAAGCACTGAGCTACACAGGCAAAATGTGATTAAATGTCTTGCATGCTAAGGACAAAGCCTCTAGGCAAAAGTAAAACTGTCATATATACAAAGTTCAGTTTAAATTGGAGGATATCAGATAGCTTGGCTAGAGGGCTAAAATAGGCAGATCCTGTGGCCCAGTCTTATTTCCTTCTAGATCTGTGTATAAAATATTGTTTAAATGAATAGCTTGGCTTTGGCAGAGGGATGCCAGTTGACTGTAAGTACAGAGATTAGAATATTTAAGTACATGTAGATGTACAAATATCATATAGTATAAGGCACATGAAAAACTGGCAGTGATGAAAAAAGATGATTTTTCTATACACAAATTAAACTTTTATTTACGGTAGTCTGGGTGATGTGTTGGACCATTCTGATGATTATTCAAAGATTCCTGTGTAAATTAATGGTTTACTTTTACTTTCATTATACTAAGACTCGTGTGTAAATGGTTTACTTTTACTTTCATTATACCGAGACGTCATACATGTTAACGTTTTCTTTTACTTTCATTATACTAAGACTCACATGTAAATGTTTACTTTTACTTTCAGTTTGCTGGCCTGCCTGGGATTGGTGGAGAACAGTTCTGTAATCTTGGTCGCCAGTATGCTTGTTTCACCACTCATGGTAGGTCATCGGGATTTTTCTTTATTTTTGAAGTTTTTTTAAAACCATTTATGACTTTTAATATACTCTTCTCAGTCTTCTGATATATAAAAACCCAATACCTTCCATGTTCAACTTGAATATATTAGAGCATTTTTAAGTTCCAATGCCCTCTTGTATCATTTAAAGTATCAACAAAAGATTTTTTGTGTAATATATCTGAATTAGTGAGGGAAAAAAGCTTTGATAGATCGAGGCTGCATTCAAGTTTTTCTTTTTTAAAATATTTTCAAATTACATTTTATTGTAAATTTTTAATGCATTCTACTATCATAAGTGCATGACTTTCTCTCAGCTTTCTGTTTTTAATTATTATCTGTGATTAACAGATGTATCCCACAATAGACCCTTTTCCTATGACATATTTTGCCTAGGAGTTATTCCCCTTAGTCGCCATATTGTAGGGCAACATTCCCAGATCGTTTCATATTATTCAACCAAGTTCAATTTTTATACTGGTTGATGAGGTAAAGATAACACTATTTTTCTATACTGAATTGAAATTGAATTTAAATATACATTTGTTAAAGTCTCTATTAATTCATAATTTTAAGATTGTAAATATTTTCCCCCAAATATTTCTTGCATGTATGTTTAAAATTGGTTCCTCAAAGAGGTAAATTTACTACTTTGCCATACAAGATGGCGGCTAAGGGGAATGACTCCTACGCAAAATATGTCATAGGAAAAGGGTCTATTGCTCTGTAAACCACTTTTCTTGGTTGTCTCCCTTGCCTTGTTATTTTATTTCTAGCTGTTGTTCTTAAGTTTCTGTAAACTATCTTATCTCTCTGTCAGACTAATTTCTTCTGAGATTTTATCATAAGACGATACAAATGAGAACTTTCTTCCATAAATTTATTAAACTTTTTACACAAATTACAATGAAGCCATGAACAAATGGATGTTATACATGTATTCAACTGATATTTCTAGACTGTTCCATGGTATTGCTTCATAGAAACAGTGATTTTTTTTTTTGCAAACATTTATAATTTTTAAACAAAATACATGTATTTTGTTAACATTACCTTTCAAAACACAAGTTCTTGTCAAAATATTTTTCTGGTTACAGCACTTAGTTAGTCAAAGATAACTGGCCTTTTGCTTGGAGTAAACTCTGTTGTTGTTTTTTTCTTTGGCATATGTTATTGTATTTTTTTCCTAAATTTACCACACAATTTATAACAAAAAAAAAGAAAGATGAATTTGTTAATATACAATTGATGACTAGATAGTACACATGCATGTTCTTTCTATGAATAATATGTGAAATCGTGTTGAGTTGTTTCTTACATGTATCTTACATTTTCTTTGTCATACATATAAGGTAGGATTCTTCTCACATTTCTTGTATTTAAAAATTAATGAAATTTTCACAGAATCAACAGGACAATATCACTAAGTGATGGTATCAGTGAGATTAAATTAATATTAGAGGCAAGGTCAGGTCAAAGTCATTACCTTTCTCCTGGACATTAAGAATAAAAAATTACTGTTTCCAATCATGCGATCCCTACTTGTAATTCAAAACATTGAATGTTTTTCTTTTTGCATAAAAAGAATACTACCATATAGGGCTAATAAGATGATATTACCAAACTGACATAGATAATTTAAATAAAATGGATATTTGCTAATCCGAATTTCCTCTACTTTTCTTTAATTCCTAGGATATATTAGTTATTTTTATATGTTTCCTGTATTTAACTTTTTCTCATTTTCACATATAATAAAGTTTTCACATAAAGGTACAAAATGATACAAAAATTAAAAGTTTTGATCGTTTACTAAGAGAGAAATAACACTTTTTACGGATTTTTGGCTTAAATATGTACTTAGATTCGAAGCATTAAAAGGCAACATAGTTCTAGTATGTGTGAAAAATCTTATCTATTTGATAAATTTTGAAACTTTAGTCCCTTATTATTATTTTAAGTTGCATTTGAAAATTTCGTCTAGTCTTTGATTGCGTAAAAATTATAACCAAATTCAATGTTCAATAATAATTTTGAGAGGCAATTTAGAAGATATTTTCATACACCACCATTCCGCCAAAAATATAGTCCCTGCTAGTTTTCAAACGCAGTTTACCCTTTCTATTTAGAGTTGTACAATTGTGACGAGGAAAGAAAAATATGGTCTTTTAAATCTCTTACACCTAAATATATGAGACATATAAGTATACTTTGTAAATTTCATCTAGTCAGAAACTAGAGAAGAATCCTACCTAAATGATTGTTTACTAGCCAAAATTCTTTATTAAATTTAAAACAATATTCTCAATACTATAGGGCTACAATCTTATCAGAGACAGAGATCTTATCAATCTTATTGTTGAAGTGACGACTTAACATTCTGACATACATTTTTTACTCTTATGCTTCAGTAGCTGTAATTGATCACAGAAGCCATTGAGCATCTATGAAAAATTAGATGTACAAAATTAAATGTATATACATTATACTATTCTGTTATTCTCAGGGTCCTATCCTTGGAGGTACATTTGGCACAGTTATGCAGAACAAGTCACTGAGAGAACTGGGGATAAAGAATGAACTAATAGGACTTCTTATATGTCTCATTAGTGGTAAGTATGTAATTAACTGTCCAGGATAAAGCTCTTCCATCAATTAAACATACTATGACATATATCAATGTTGCAATGTTGTTGAGAAAAACAATACCAAACCATAACTCGAGAACCTAATGACATGACGACTTGACACAAAGAATAAATTGATATGTTTACTGCATTATGCAATATGAAGACGACCAACAAGAATAGAGGAGGCATGCTGTTAATATTACCCACTTGATAATCTTCCACTCATCAATGTTGACCACAGAGGAGAGATGTGTTTTTGTGCAATAAAAACAAATACCCACTAGTTATTAAGTTCTGCCATTTTTCTCAACAAGTATTTGATTGGATGAATTTGTTCAGGTGAGCAGTGGGGCCTAGGGGCCTATGTTGCCTAGTTTTCAGGGAGACAAATTTGTGTCATGGTTGTCTGATTTTTTTTTTTTACAGGCCTTTTATTTGGAATCATCAGTGGGGTGGTCAACATGGAGGGATCTAAGTGGGGCAGTACAGACAGCTGGCCCACCAACGAAATGAAATCTAGGTATGGTGTGTATATAGAATTCAAAATAAATAAATGAATTATCTACTATGATTCCACCTGAAGAGTAGTTAGCAAAACTGTTTAAAATGTGCTTGATATTATTTTTGTTTAATTAGGATGCAAAGATGTTGTTAATTAAAAGATAAAATATCTTATTTATGAATAAACAAACCTAATTGTGTATATTTTCCCCCAGTATTGTTATAAATATATTTCTTCAAATGATACACTTGCTGGCTGTACAGAGCTTCTGTATAATTATGATTATAGCTTGTATATTTTATCAGAATTGACGTGGAATTTTTCCTTATAGAGGTGTGTTAAGAAGTCTGTGGGTTGGTGTCTGTATTGCTATACCCTCTGGAGCGGGCGTGGCCTTGTCTGTACTGGGAGGGAACGCTGGATCTCT